GCGCCGTCACGCGTGGGCCCCGCCGCGGAACACGCGTGTGCCGCTGCCCCGCCCCGCGCACGCGTGTCGCACCGTGACGGTGATGGCCGCGTGCCACGGGTTCCTCTGCTCGTCCGCGGCGCTCTCGAAGTCGTAGGCCAGGCCGCACATGCTCAGGGTCTCGCTCTCGTCTGGGGGACACGGGGACACGTCGGGGGGCGCCCGGACGCCTGGGCCCCGCGATGAGGGGAGGCACCCGGACGCCTGGGCCCCCGATGCGTGAAGGCCCCTGAGGGGGCCGCAATGGAGGGGAAGGGGGGACTGGGGCTCCCGAACGCCGGGGCCCCAGGAGAAGGGAAGGAGAAGGGCCCCGGCGTCCGGGCAGGGGCCCCGGTGTCCGGGTTTGAAGGGGTCCCAGCGTCCGGGGGGCCCCGGTGTCCGGGGGCCCCGGTGTGCGGGCGGGCCCCAGCGTCCGGGTTTGAAGGGGCCCCGGTGTCCGGGGGGCCCCGGTGTCTGGGCAGGGGCCCCGGTGTCCGGGGGGCCCCGGCGTGCGGGGGCCCCGGTGTCCGGGTTTGAAGGGGTCCCAGTGTCCGGGGGGTCCCAGTGTCCGGGGGCCCCGGTGTCCGGGGGGCCCCGGTGTCCGGGTTTGAAGGGGCCCCGGTGTCCGGGGGGCCCCGGTGTCCGGGGGCCCCGGCGTGCGGGGGCCCCGGTGTCCGGGGGGCCCCGGTGTCCGGGCAGGGGCCCTGGTGTCCGGGTTTGAAGGGGTCCCGGTGTCCGGGGGCCCCGGTGTCTGGGCAGGGGCCCCAGTGTCCGGGTTTGAAGGGGTCCCGGTGTCCGGGTTTGAAGGGGCCCCGGCGTGCGGGGGCCCCGGTGTCCGGGGGCCCCAGTGTCCGGGTGGACCCCGGCGTGCGGGGGCCCCGGCGTGCGGGGGCCCCGGTGTCCGGCGCACCGATCATGCGCTGGAAGGTCTCGTGCAGGTCGCGCAGGTCGCGCAGCAGGAACACGTGCCGCTCGCCCTCCTTGTGCGACGCCAGCGCGTTGAGCGTCTCCACGTGCGCCGCGGCGCCCAGCCCGAACACGTACATGTCTGGGGGGACGGGGGGCAGCCCCATGGGACGGGGCCCCAAGGGCCCCCCCAAGGCCCACAATGTCCCCCTAAGTCCCCCCATTATCCTCCGTTGTCCCCCATTGTCCCCATTGTCCCCTGTTGACCCCGATTGACCCCATTGTCCCCTCATTGTCCCCATTGCCCCC